ACTCACCTGGGGAGGGTCAGTGGATCATCTCAATTCTTCAGGTAAATAAAGCTTTTTATCGTTGTCAGTAATATGGTCATAAAAATACAAATACCTCTTTCATAACAGTCATAATAATATCTTTACATAATTAACTTTAAGTAAGATTAAATAGAAATGTAAACATTGTTATTGACAGTGACATCAGTGAAGCCGCAGATGGTGATTACCAGCCAGAACATCCATAAAATGAATTAATTTAACAACTAAATCTTACTGATGCAATGCTGTGGGATTCTAACAATGCAGAGTATATTTATGGTTAATATCCCCCACGATGTGCACTACTTTTAAAGCTTTACTGTCACATATTATGCACAGTAAAAGTAAAAATGAACAAAGGAGAACACAAAAAGACAGATAGATTAGAATAAATAATCAAAATGAGAAAATGAAAAAGTTTTTCTAAATGTTTTATGTACTATTCCTCTCACTCTGTTTTATTTGTGTTGCCTAATGTTTTTTGTACTATTTTTTTAGGGCACAGGATTGGGACATTGTTTAAAAGGTCCATTTTGGTCATTTCATTTTAGTTTACCTTATCTTGTTTTATTATAACTTTACCTCTTTTAATTATGTCTAGTCTTTTATATTATATTATAAAGTATTTCTGATCTAGTACATCAGTCCCAAGCCTTTGAATGTTTGTGTACTGTGACATGTTGTGCAGAACCATCATACGTACAAGTTGCTTATTGTTTTAATTTTATATGCTTTGTTCAATGTGAATTGAAACTTCACAGAGTACAATGAGTCTGTGTAGCTGCTTTGGATTCTTGCTGTTTGTCCTCCACAACCTCCAAAGCACCACAGGTAAACTGACACGCAATATATTGTATAAGAGTCAAATCAAATTTAAATCAAAACCCCTTAGAGAGTGGAACTTGAATGGATAGTGGAGATCTGATCATTTGGCCTATTAACATCATATCTAGTCAAGTGTTTAATTTCCATCCACACAGTAAAATCTTCACAGCTTCTCTCAAAAGGGAACATTTGCAAATATGCAACCTGTCTTTCACCATTTTATACGGCCTAACAGCTGACTTTCTTTTAAAAGCAATAATTTCACATATGGGGAAATGTGCTCACTGTGTTTTTTGCAGAGGTTAGATAAGAACGATACCCTGCTCATGTCTGCGTGGTTGATATGTGGATACAGCCAGCAGCCTGTTAGCTAAGCTTAGCAACACTTTCACCTGTAGAGTCCAAGGGAACAGAACTAAACTAACCAAAGAAGCAAAAGTTAAAGGGAGAACTTATGTCTGAATTGTGCAGATTAAACAGTGGAAGACCAGTTTTTAAAAGAAAACGTCCTGTGTTTTATCATTTCAGAGGATTTCTTCCTAGATTCGTCTCATTCTGCTTTTCCCATCACCTTCGGTTTGGGAGTCATCTTCATGTCTGTTATTTTAGTCGTCTTTGCTGCATATAAATGGAAACAAAACAAAAACAGTAGGTCATACATTACTTGTAAACCTGTCACAGATTTCAAATGAAAAAGTAGAATAAAAGTCTCTAATTTCTCAAATTGTATTTGATGATGTATTTTAGTATGGAGTGAGTAACCAGTAAAAGACTTTTACAAAAACATCTTTAATCACAAGAATGAAACTGAAAAACCAAATATGGAAATTGTGTTTCTGACTGAAGGAAACAAAGAGAGGGAGCACCTTAAGACAACTGAGAAGGATTCAATTAAGGCTTTCTATACAGGACAAAGAGACAATGAGACCAAGAATGTAAGTAAAGAGAGAGGACATTATTCCAAAACTGTATTGCTCTGTCCCTGAACTCTCTTCTGTGACACCAATACCAATTCTTAACACCCACAACACTAAAGTCACATCAGGTCTGGTTGACAGTCATAGCCATTATCCTACTGATCAGCAGCCAGCTACTCTTAGATGTGCAAAGTGGGTGACTATGATGCTGGTAAGACCCTCACTCCCAGATCACATGAGAATGGTATACTGGTGGGGTCGCAATATACTAAAATGCTGCAGTGCTAAACTTGGGGAAAGACATACTGGTCTGCACAGATCTTTAATATCCTGCACAAAAAGAAAAGCTGTAAATACTGATGCACGCTCGTCCTCTGTCCTTTGATACAGAAGATAATGTGTCAATGAGTCAATAACTCAAATGTTTAAAGGTTACTACTACTATGAGTTTGTGACGTCCTGCAATAAAACACTCCTCACAGATCAACATTTCTCAGTTAAGAGTCCAAAGGTCTCCATAAAACATGTACAGTGAGACACGAATGTCAGTAACAGTGTGTACAAAAATAAGCCCAGCATTAGTACCATTTTTCACATGAGGTACTCTCATATATAAAGTATAAAAAATACAGATCCAGGAAAGGCCACAACTCAAAGTGAGTCCATATATCAGAACACCAGGTGTTAAATTAACACTTATAGAAACCTTCCAGCCAGTTGATTGTTAATGAGGACAAATGCTAAGACTGACTGGATTCTTGCTACCCATTACAGTAAGGAGTATCTACACTTTTTGATATAAAAGTGACTTGGGCTCCACCCGGTGGTGAAACTAGAGGACTGCAAGGATTTTTCTTTCCTACATGTGATTTAAAAGGAAAACATTTATAACTTAAATGGCTTTAAGAAAAACGATTTCCCTATCTGATCTATCTTTCATCTTCTCTCTCCTCTCAGTTGGCGGATGAAATCGATGAAATTCAGCATCTCCGAGACCAGAATCAGAGCATGGAGAACGAGCTGCAGACCTTGAAGAGAGAGCTGGAGACCAACAAAAAACAGGTTAATCTCTTCACTTAAATCTTTATTTATTCACTGAGACACCAAGTCATCTCTCCCCTCTTTATTTCTTCTCAGAAAGATATGGTTTTCTTTCCAAACACCTCCTTATTGGTTGTCAGTTTCTCTTTCAAAATTGTCCCACAAATATATGTGTCTACAACAACTACAGCTGCTATTGCTGCAAATACTCCCACTATCTTTTCGACTGCTACTGTTGCTACTGCTAACTCATTTTTTTTTTACTACTTTCTACTTTTGTCAGTCTTAAAGTTTTACTTTTAAGTTTTATTTTTATTTTTGATTGTTTAACTTTATCATGAACCTAATCTGTGGTAGTGATAAAACAAAGGAAGCTTCCTGAAAGGACCAAATAAACATGAAGCAATTGTGCTGAACGTGGTTCATTATTTCAGTGGACTTGATGCAGTCAGAATGGTGGCATCTGTTGGACAGGCAAATGTCCAAGAGACACAGGCTGGTGAGAGAGAACACTGTAAAACACAGCTGAAAGATTCACATATGTCTGTCTGTCTGTCTTTTAGCTGGAGAAACCTAAGAGTATAAGAGACACCATTGAAGGAATGCGGGACTCTTTTTCACAACTAAAGTTCCACCTTGCCAATCTCAGAATGCGGAAAGTAATACACACATATACTCACTTTTTGTTATTGTATACGTGCACATTGTGTCCATCTCAGTCAAGCATTGTGTTAAATGTCATGCTGATTTCAGTGACTGGTGTCAGAATAACAATTAGTGTGATAATCTTTGATGTGCCTGAATCTGTTAACTTAAAAAAAATCAACAACCAACAGTCTGAACCAGAGAATGAAGGATACAATCTTACTTTTAAAACCTCTGACTGTTAATTTGATTCATTTTCCACTGAAAGTGTAAGTAGTGTAAAGTACATTTTTAATACATCTATCATTTGAGGCTCATAATGGGCCTTTTTATTCACCACAAAGGTATACATCTTTACAAGTTCAGCCTTAACTAAAGGATCAATAATTGTCTTCCACTGAGTATTGCAAATGTCTATTTATCACCCATGACTATTTGACAGAAAATCAATACATGACATTGCAAAGCATTATTCACAAATTCATTTTTCAAATCCAAATCAAATCAAGTTTATTTATATAGCATGTTCAAAACAACCAGAGTTGACCAAAGTGCTGAACACATGATAATAACAAAAAACAAATATAAATATTAAAAAAGAACAAATGTGTGCCCAAATGTAAAAACAGAGACAGAACAAGACTTAGACACAACTACAAAATATAAAATAAAGGATTATAAAATACTAAAACCCAAGAGCAGCCAAACGCCGTTTGAGTTTAGTCTTGAAAGTGTCAAAGTTTCTCCTTCAAAATTGACCCACAAATGTATGTGATTATCCTTCAACTACTATTGCACATTATATTCACGCTCTTATGTCGGCACATCATTTCCATCTCAGTCAAGAATTGTGTAAAATGTCCTATAGAACTGCAAGGTCTTGGATTTTATTTCTTCCCTAATTGTGATTTCTTTGTAACTTAGATACTTAAGTTTTTAAAAAATCCCCATTTGATCTATCTTTCATCTCCTCTCTCCTCTCAGTTGGAGGATGAAATCGATGAAATTCAGCATCTCCGAGACCAGAATCAGAGCATGGAGAATGAGCTGCAGACCTTGAAGAGAGAGCTGGAGACCAACAAAAAACAGGTTCATCTCTTCACTTAAATCTACATTTCATCTCTCCCTCTTTATTTCTATGATATGGTTTTGTTCACAGACACCTCCTTATTGGTTGTCAGTTTCTCCTTCAAAATTGTCCCACAAATGTTTTTGACTACAACACTACTGCAACTACTAGCACTACCTTTTTGACTGCTACAGCATTGTAAACGCTAAACTTCTCTTTTTCTTTAAAGCTTTGTGTGTCCAAGCTTCAGTTTGAATCTCTCATGAAGCAGAATCATAAAGTTAAAGTGTTGATACAGTCTTAAGGATTGTAATGTTATTAACTGCTGGGAACATTCAGACATCTTATTCACATATTGTAGATCATCTGCACATTCAAGACAAGTTTGACTCCCTGATGTAAATAAATTATGATTATTCTCAGAAGTTTAACTGACTTGGTCTACTGTGACGATTAAGTATTTTCTTAATTTTTTGGAGCAGTTTATTTCCTCTTATGGTTGACATTGTTGTTATGTACAGTCAGCTGACAAGGCCAGGTGGCAGACCTTTGAGGAGCTTAAGAACACCCAGTTTGAACTGGAGAAAAAGACTGCGGAGATCAGAAACCTGCGGAGAGAGGTACCCAATGTGTCCCTGGGTTACAGTCTTTGCTTTCCTTAACTTTCATAATTTCCTTAGCTGACTTTCACACCTCTCTCCTCGCAGTTTGATGACAGACTCAGGGAAGAGAATCAGAGTAAAAAGAAATGCCTGCAGACCCTGAAGGAGGAGCTGGAGACCAAGAACAAGGAGGTTCATATCTTCAGCTTAATCTTATTGTATTTATTGAGACCATACTTGTTGGCAGTTTTTCATTCAATTATGTTTTTATTTTTGGCACAAAAAAGTAAAATATTACAGTAAAACTGAAATATTTATATATATGTCCCATCAAAAAGAAAAGTTCAAAACCAAGTCTAGTTCCCTACACATCCTATTACCCTCTTCTCTTTCGCTTTCTAGCTTTGTGAGTCCAAGCTTCAGTTCGAATCTCTCATGAAGAAGAATCAGGAGTTTCAGACACAGCTGACTGAACTTAGAGAGGTGCACAAGCAGGTGGTAAGGTTTACATCAACACAGTTAGATGTTTTGTATTTTTATTAATTATTATTATTATTATTATTATTATTATTGTTGTTGTTGTTATTAAGCTTAAACTGACCACAATAGCTTTGTCTACAAAATTATTAATCTCATTTCGCAGTTAGAGAAGATGGTCGAGGATGAGCAGGAGAGGAGGGAGGAAGTAGAGAAGGAAGTGGAGACCCTGAAGATGGAGCTGCAGAAGAAGAAGGACGAGGTCCATCTTTTTACCTAAATCTGCATTTTTTAAAGTTATCTTTTCATGTCTTTTGGCAATTTTCATTTTTCCCACAATACTAGTTTGTCACTTTGATCAAGATGATGCAAACTAAACCTCTCTTCCTTTATCTTCAGCAGACAAACCAAGCAGAGGAGTCAGATGTTCAGAAATCTCTGGAAGTATCTGACAGCTCTGGAGAAGAACATTTAGTGTCAGAGGAACCGAGTAAAGCACTGGAGATGGCTGAAGAATTACCAAATGTTGCAAAAGAAGTTGTGAAATGACAATCTGTACAACAAGCAGAGTCCAGTGATTTGTTTGATTTGTTATGTGCACATTCAGTGCAAAAGAAGCAGTGTGATGCAGTTTGGGAAGTTTAAATTGTTTGATGACTGACTGCACTAAAAGTACATAAACAATTCTGAAAAAAATAAATAAAAACACACTTGTATTTATAAACAGCCTTTTAATATATATGACTATAATATAATATTCATCACTGCTATTTTTAATTGCCTTACTCTATGTTGTTACTGTAACAGTTTAATAAAAAGAATTACTTCTGTGTATTCAGATCCTTTACTTGCACTCAATATTAAAAAATTTCACTGTTCAGCTGATCCTGTCAGTGTTTTATTTTTAGATTTTTGATTGCACTGCACTTCTCACATCCCATTTTGTTTTTAGACGTCCTCTGTTTTTCACTTCTTAGTAACATGAAACATCTTAAAACAGAAGTGTAAACAGGAAGTCTTTAATATATTTAAGTACGGTAGTCTGGACGGGATGAAGGTAATCTTGTATGTTTCTCTACTGTTAGTTAACTGCTAGAAGCTTGTACCGAGCGACTGTTACCTTGCATCATTATATATGTATTATTGTTATCTAAGGGATATCGGATTAGTCCATAAATACAAAAAGTAAAAGTAGCATTTGTACAAGAAGTACTATGTCCTGCTGTTTATGAAATATTTTTATTCCTTTATCCCACAGTCACACACAACATCTGTTTCATTGTGATTAACATTACATTGATCATGAGATTGATATCAGATGGAGAAACTACCCTTTCATATTTATTACCTTGTTTATATCTGTTTTTTATTGCTGCTGCTGGTGATGAAGTTTCAAGCTGCTGACATAATGTTAATTATGTATTTTGTATGTCCTCTGTTACAGAGGAGCTCCAGGACCCCAAACAGAACATTAGAGTCCATGAAGTATTTCTTCTTCTTCTTCTGAACTTTTCCTTTCCAGGTTCAGAGCTCCAGGATGCTTCCTGTGAGGGTCAGTCAGTCCCTTAACCTTCAGTTCCACACTGTTGTCTTCCTCAGCCTGATACACTCATGTGCTGCACAAATAGCATCATCCTACCACAAGGCATATGACTCTAATATGTCCATTTCAGCGTTAAGCCCAGTTCAGACCAAAATTATTACTGAAATATTACTCAACTGTGACTGAAAGTACTGCTCTTAAAAAAGTACAAAGTTTTCTTCTCAAAAACGACTTTTACTTTTTAGCCGTTGCATTATCTTTATTGCTCTCAAATGTTGGATTTTACCAAAAACATCTGTGCTTAATCTTGTTACCACAAACCAAGTGCTACTTACAAACCAAAGCCAGACACAGCTTTTCCCTGTACAAACATGTCTCTACAGAATCTGTTACTCTTGAATGAAAGTAACAGTGATGGTGCGTATATTGATGGATGAGATTATGACATGTTGGGATGTGTCACTTAATGACGAAACTCCTCTGTGGACGGTCTATTTTGGATCATTGTTTAGGGTGCCACTTCACTATCAGGGTTATTATCTGATGAAGCAACTGCACGCTACCTACAGCAACAGCAGGCGGACATAGTTAGAGAATAGTTGGGGACATAGTGGAACAGAAACTAAAAATACAGGTTTTTCTCTGGGTTGGTGCAAATCAGAGCTAAATGGAAGGTGAATACTGAACACAAACACAACTCCAATGTTGCTCTGCCTGCTGAGTGAGTAAATTAGCCAAGTGTTTGCTAACATGTCAGTCACAATAACTTGATAAGGTGAGAATATGCTTTCAGTTTGATCAGCCTGGGTCCAGTGAAATTGACTTGTCCAACCCCCAGGCACATGACAGTAATCTGTCTGTTTCAGCGTTGAGTCCAGTTCAGGCCAAAGATTCACAATGAGACAACAGTTTTAGAATGCTGCAGGTAAAAGTTGCTGTGGTGTGAACTGGTTGTCTCAGCCCGACTCATGGCGGCAGGTGGCTGGATTTCGAACATAGGGCACGTGTTTCGACCAAGCGGCTCGTTGCAAAGTCATCAGGTCAAAATGGCAATTTTGGATGGATGAAAGAGAGGATTAGGTCATCAATTAAAATGTGCTGTATCCATGCACCCATGGACGGCTCCAAATACTCATATTATTGAGCATTTTATTGTTTCATCAATAAAATGCAGCTGTACAGCATAGAAAAGGACGCTGGCCACCACAGAGCTGGTAAAACATCTGCAGCAGTTTTTTAAGCTGGTATCCAGAGCCTGAGGTGGTCTGCTGGACGGTGAGGGAAACCTCCTCTCCCTGCTGGATCTACAGAGACAGTCAGAGGTCCTGATGACCTCTATTCTGTCAGCAGCAGAGTGACTGTGGGAGAAGAGACACAGCACAATTCACCTTAGAGTCCACAGAAGGACATCAACCAGACCAGAGAGACACACATCCTGTATTTCTGGTAAAAAAATAATTCAATTTAACAGAAGTGATGTTTCCTGATGTGAGGTAATTACTGATTAGTGATACTTCTGATGTTGTGCTGCCATCTTGAGGACAAACTTTGACAAAACACCAATATCACAGTGACTCTTATTTGTCCTCAGTTAACAGAGAAATAAACAATACATTTGATAAACTTGATTAGTAGGAGCCCTCTCATTCTATGGAGCATTATATTTAAAAATAAATTGCAAAATTGGTTTGTGTTGTAAACTGAAATTTTAAGTAAACTATCAGACAGATGTCATTCATGTTGAATGATTGCGGTCCGTCCAAAAGGGGGTGACATGTGTCAGTATTTGGCCTTTATTTACATTGTAACTAAATGATCTCAGAACAAAGACATTTACACACAAATCATTGATGTTTAAGAAGTGAAATATGCAATTGTTTGTTGAGGAATGTGTGTTTCAATGTTTAGCTTTCAAATGTTTCCTTTTGATTAATTTTTCTTTGATTTTTGGTTACCTGCTATTTACCAGGGCCATAACTCAAACAGGACACCACCATGCAGAAACAAAGGTTAAACAAAGATCCATTTTTGAGTGGGAGTTTGTGTTGTTGGGCTCTCTTAATATATTATAATACTTGTAAAAACATAAAACATCTTAAATATATGAGAGACAATGATATAGCCCAATGCAAATTCAGGTTTCTTGATTTTATTATCTAGTATCAGAAAGAAGGTGAGGCTTTCCCACAGCTGGGCCTGGGTATATGCACATGTGGACTGGATGCCCCTGTGGTAGATAAAACATGATAAGGTACCCTCTAGGGTGGAGAAAATGTGACGCAGTGCCATACAGGCTGCCCTACATGGTCTGCCACTGGGCGTGTGTACATATGACTAGATGCTACATGGGAGACAAAGTGGGATGTGATGCAAGTCAGTCAGTCAGTCGATCAACAGCCAAGCAGCATGGAGATAACAACACTGTGAGCTTCCACTGGTGAGCACTTCATTTCTGTATGCATGTTAAGTCATGAAACATCAGCCAATGCTTTTAAATAAATGCATCTCTGCTTGTTTGTTTTTCTGACCACATGTAACCACAGAGTGTGTTCAGGAAGGCACACAGATGCAGTTATTCAGCACAAGTTGCACTTTGTAGTGCCAATTTCAGCAACATGTATTTTTAAGGATCTTCATGTCTCAGTATACCAACACTGTGTGACAAACTGTAGTCACTGTAATATAACCCTAATATTATATTAAGAATCATATTTTAAAATGTACTGTTCAGTACTATTTCAGACACGTCTGAAAGTGTTTAGTAGCTGAGCTGAAAATAACTGTTCTCTGTGGTTCAAGACGTTGTCACTGGCTCACAGAGTGAGTTCAGGTTAATACAACCACATGTTATAATTAACCATCATTACGCCTTGATGCTTCTTTAGTTTGACTGTCAGTCAGCATCAAGACAAGATGGAGTTCACAGGTCTTCTTCTCACGCTCTGTGAGTAACATGTTACCTTTACTTTAATACACTTCTTATATTCTTTTTGCAATCAGATTGTGACGACTGGATGCAGAATATCCAGTGCAGAATGTAATCTAAGTAAACTTATTTGTCTTTAGAACAAGAAGGCATTTAAATTTTAACATTCAGACATTCATTTGCGATAACCTAACATGTTGTCTGACTGTAAGTTGTGTTAATGTTATTTCCCTCACGGTTCTCTCCCCATTGTACCTTTTTGTACCTACAAGAAGCCAGAGCTTTTTTTTGTTCACCGTAAAACTGAACCACTGATCTTTTTACTTTTTACAATAAAATATATTAATTTACCCAATAAAAAGGATTTTTACCTATATTTTGGTTCAAGCCTCTGAATGTGCACCTTACCTGAAAAATAATATCCTTTTAAGGTTCAAATGGACGTACCTTTAATGTGATTTGTGTTCATTTTTAAGGGGCATAAAGTAGCTAATTAAGAAGTGAAAGTATTTAGTTGTTTTGTCTTCTTTGCAGCTTCTCTTACAGTTTCTCCTAACAGATCTCAGTTCTTTAAGTATGAGTCTTTGTCTCTGAGCTGTGAAGAGAACAGAAACTCCTCTGGATGGAGAGTGAAGGCCAAAACAGAGCGAGGAGTTTCAGAGTGTGGACGTGACTGGGGCTCCCTGCGAGTGTCGTCCTGTATTCTCAACGAAGCCTACAGCTGGAACAGTGGAGTGTACTGGTGTGAGTCCACATCGGGGGAGAAAACTCCAGCTGCCAACATCACTGTCACTGGTTAGTTCATCACTGCTAATGAGTCAGTGGTTAAAAGATGTAATGAGCCGTAAAAGACTTTGGGTTAGCATTAGCAGTAACTTAATCCAGCTCTCATACAGCACTATATACTGCAACTGGCTCTTTGGACATTAAACAAGGTAAAAACAAAATAGCCAAAAAAGCAATCTATCAAAAAACATTAATATTCAGGACTGTACATGCATACATTTACAAACTCCAACACAAGCCCTTTTAACTACCCAGTTAAAAGATTGGCCTTTGTGTCTTAATTTTTTTGCCAAATGTTGTAATATTTACCTTTCATTGTGCGTCCACCATGCTGTTTCACAACACACGAAGGATGCATGAACAAAATGCACTTCAGTAAATCAGTAAAATATCTCTCAACACTGCTCTCTGGTGTCCAAAGTTATAAACTGCAGATTAATCATCTCAGAAAACTAATCAGATTTGCCTTTATCCTGGTTAAAAATCCTGACAGCTGACTTCACTCAAAATGAAAGATTTCCTACAATTATCATTAAATATAGATGCATATATATATTCATCTATACATATATATATATTTATATATAATATAAGAATACGAATTTCTGGAGATTTAACATGCAAAGTAAAGAGTGAATCACCAACATCCAATGTGATCAGACAATTTAAGATTTCATGAAAAAAATGCAGCCGAAAAGTTTGAATAACTCTTTAAATCTTTTGCGGTTCAAAGAGAATAATGTGATCCTGGAGAGTCCTGTGTTTCCTGTATTGGAGGGAGAATCTGTGACCCTGCGGTGCACCGCTCAAAGCAACTCTTCAATCCTGCAGCCCAGCATCTTTATGAAGGGCAGATCTGCTGTCGGAGCAGGGATCACAGGGCAGATGACCATCCCTGCAGTGTCCAAGTCTGATGAAGGCCTCTACATGTGCATGATCACTGATGTCGGCGCGTCAGCAGAGAGCTGGCTCACTGTCAGAGGTGAGAGAAAGTCGTAAGTGGTTGCACGAGCACAATATAGTGACTACTTCAGTGGAAAATCATCAAAAAAAACTTTAGGCAACTTTATTTATCCCAAAGAAGCATTTGGACAACTTGTATCGTACATGTGCTTCATTTTTGTTTTCCTATGAAGATTTTTTTAAGTAGGTTATTAAAACACTGTCAGTGAGGGCAGAGAGGATCAGTTTGTAGGGATGCTGCAGTTGCATTACCTTAACATGAAGTCATATGATATTCTTTGGTTTTTTGGTCTCTGGTTTTCATACACAGAACGGACCAAAAAGAGACAGGAAGCAGGTCGACCGTCTGGTGGTTTTACTGGAGGCGTCACAGAAGGTGAGCTCAGAAAGCACAGAGTTTAAATGTAATTACTTATTTACCTTTAAAATACATGTGTGTTCCCATTTTTAAAATGTGATGTGTTCCAGAAGAGATAGTATTTGTGAATATTGGAGAAAAGGGGTCTACAAAAACTCCATTCACAGAGGCTTCATAAACTGACGTTCTACTTGTGTTTTACCATCAGCAGCAGGTCCCGATGGTCCTGCAGCTCCCCTCATGTCTGTCTTCAGACTCATATGTCATCTGGTGGTGGGGAGTCCCTACCTGCTGTCCACTGTCTTACTGGGACTCATATATAGAGACAAGGCTAAAGGTGAGTCACATAAACTGTACTTCCTGGTAGTTAACTGAGAGAAAGGGACAAAAAGGTGATGATTTCTCATGACAGTACAGTACAGATGTTTTTAGTCTTTAATTTATTTTATTTTTCTCATTCAGTTCTCTTTTGGTAGTTAAAAGTTGTACATATTTTTTCAGATGTTTGTGGTTTTGTTTCTGCAGCTCAGCAAGTTGAAGAGACCCGAAACTGCGATGAAGTCCAGATGGAGGAAATAATGTGACGTGCAGCAGTGTACCTTATACTGTGTATACTGTACCCCATGGAAACATGGGCAGAGAAGGTGCTTACAGTAATGTAATGCATGTTAGTCTCAGTTCACAGGACCCAGCTTGTCAGGAGGCCCTTCTGACTCAGAGCCACACTTATTATGTTAGGTGTGAACACATTAAGAGCATCTTGAAGATTTAGCTCTCTGTCAGATAAATATAGAATAGCAAAAAGTCCCACATCCCATAAATAAAGACAAGAGTAAGTTCCCATGCTCACATTGTGTCTCAATTACTTTCTCTTTCTGTCTGTGTTTTTTTACGTCTTACAGATGTGGTTATAATCCACACTGTTAAAGGGAAACACAGTTCTGTTCATGGTGTGAGAAACAGCATAAAAAAGTTGTGTGAAGCTCATAACTGTCTGAAGTGTCAGTATCAACACTGGCTGAAGATTTTTAAGTTGTTCACTAATTACTTAATTTCTGATGAGCAGAATATAATTTTTTATTTTTTTATTTTCTATCTTTAGAACTTCAGTATGGTTCACCTCACTGATGGAGTGGATTTCAGGAACTTAAGAGTTTTGCTTTTCCATCAATCTGTTGTCTTCCTTCTTCTAATAGTCTTCTGTAGGTAATATACTTCTTACAGTACAGGCTGCACATAGCCAACCACATCTTACTCTAAATGTCACATGAATCAGTTTCAGAATTAAGCACAAAGGAACAATAATCTTAAAAGTCAGCACTGAGACAACCAGTAACTGGAGTCAGCTGTTGAACGTAATTTATTGTGGGTTAATATCATGTGTTTCTACACGGGCCATATGAACTTTCCCGGTGTATGTAAGAGACTATAGGACCAATTTGTTGTCTCTTTAGCACCGCCTTAGTTTACCTTCTTCATAAATAGAAACTGATTATTACAGTCAACTGTTGGAATGTAATACTTTTGGTTTTTAATATACCAGTTTGATGATACAAAATCCATTTTGAGGCAATATATTATATCAAGTTTCTGTTTTTCTTTCTTAGAAGTGTTTACAACTGCAGAGGGATTGCACTCTATCTCTTTGATTGTAAAAGACATCACGTCTCTCCAAAGTAAGAACTATAAAATGTCGGTCAAAACTAAAAGCAAGAAATAAATAAATAAAGAAACAGTCAGTGAATAAAATAACTGAATTAAAGAACAAAATAAAAAGGGAAACAGAAGAAGAAAGCTCAAATATTAATTTTTGGAATTTAATTTGGAGATAAAATAATATTTCAGCTGAAAATAACAGCAGCCACATTTGTCTTCTATCAAAATCAATAATTAATTGATGAATTGAATTAAAATGTGTTTGTCAGATAAATATAGGGTAGTAATATGAAAGTAATATGTGCCATAATAAAGACAGGACAGACAAGTTCCCACACTCACATTCTCAATTACTTATTTTATTTTTTATTTTTTGTCACACTTCTCATCTCACTTGATGTGACTTTGACTTTGTTTTTATTTTTCAGATCTCCAGGATGATTCACCTGACTGAAACTTCAGAGACGTCAGACATTTGCTTTTCCATCCCACCATGGTTTTCCTTCTTCTAATGCAGTTGTCTGCAGGTCATGTATTTCCTGCTATTTTCTTCTAAACATTGTATATATATTGTTTAAGTGGTGAATATATTTCTTTATTACCTTGAGTTTTTTGTTTTCAACCCTGATCCCTACACATTACACTACTACAATCACTACATTTATGTAATGCAGTGGGGTCATGAAGAGGTGGATGCAAGATGTACTACTTGGAAAGAAGTGCAAGGGACCAGGTTATAATAAACCAAACCATGCCAAAAGCAGTGTGACCCACCATTTGCCAAACACCAATTGTTAAGATGCAAAATTGTACTAGGATCTAGATTATAAAAAATAATAAATAATAGGGACCCTACACCTTTAAAGAGTATTTTTACGTCATTAAAAAAAACCAAGATATTTTTTAAATTATTAGTAATTATGCTAAAAACATAATGATTCCTATATTAGTCCTATATTGCAGCGGCCCAGGTTTAAATCTGATCTGCGGTCCTTTGCTGCATGTCATCCCCTCTCTCTCTACCCACCTTTCCTGTCTATCTTGAGCTGCCACTATCAATGTGTTCAGGATTCAACAATAGGAATAAACCTGCCTTCTGCATTAACTGTTTGTAACTGAATAGGGTGGGCCTATTTTAACATCTGTCATAATGGTGGTACTTGGAGAGAGACAGATATTTTCTGAGGTGGACCACACTATAAAATTTGAGAAACACTGAATTAGCAGATCTGTAAATGCGCATCAATGTCTTGTCGTGCATCAATGTCTTGTCGCGCATCAAGTGTATTTCTCAGTAGCCTCTCTTCTATTTCAGGTGCTGTGTTCTCACCTATCATATTAAGTATTAACCGAACTAGAAGTGGAATGGTTTTAGACTG